AACAGACCAACATGAGCAGTATCCTGTCCCAGCATCCTCCTCGCTTCCCCACTCACCGATACGAGGTCTGTTTTCTGAACGCCAGTCCTCTTAATTTCTCCTCCAGTGTGTCCTGCTCCATGTCGGGCAGAGTGCTGAATGTGTCGCTGCAGCAGCCCACGGAAGCTTCCTCTGAACCGGCTCCGGACTCCGAGTCTCCCCCGTCGGCTCCCAGAGAGGCCAGGCGACCGCTGAAGCCTCCCGGGCCGGGTCGACTCTTAGCTTGGGGGTCCATGCCGGTCGGTCCTGGCTGTGTTGCCCCCCGCTCTGGACCCCCTCTCTCACGGCTTGTGGGGGTACACAGGTGCCGGTGGAGGAGCGGAGGATTTAGCGGTTACGGGGGGAGTTAATGCGACCCCGTTAACGTGTTTGAGCGGCTTGACCGTTTTGATTTTTGACCGTTAACCCCCTTTATATGCTGCAGCCAGGCACGGTCGCCCTGGACAACAGACCGAATTGCACTCACGAGCACCAAACCAACTGCCAGCGATCTACATCAAGTGAGAAATGTAAGGCAGGAAGTACAGCTTCATATCCTTCACAATAAAAGCTTTCCAAAAAAGAAATGTACAGCTGTTAAGAAGATGTTTCAGAACAGGCAAAACATAGCTAATGTTTCTGAATAAAAATGGTTGTGTATGAAGTGAGAATCTATTCGAAAGTTTCCATTACACAATGCAGCTTTTTTGTAAATATTGCTATTTTACAATTATTACATACTGTATACATTTTATTGTGTTCTGGTTTATCTATTTGTTGTATTTGTTGTCATACTTCAATTCATAAATTTATCATAATTTTTTTTACATCATGCTAAAACGGTAGTTTAGAAATGTAATAGGAGCACTTTAGTTTTTATATGAATGCAACTTTAACCTTGTGATTATCCGGCAGATTTGTAATGTATAATAGCATTACCAAATAAAAGGTGTTTAATAAAATGTACACTTTTACAGAATTTATAAATTCACACACTTCAATATGATATTCAATTATTATAATTACAACTCTCTGACTTGTAATAATGTTTATAATGGGATATTATGTCCTTCATTATGGACAATAAAATAATTTACTCTTTTAAAATGTTGCCTTCGTGTACAGTATATTTTAGATTGGCTTTTTACTGATATGGCATATTTGCACTGGGATAAACACAATTCAAGCTTGTCTGAAAATTATTTTATTTTATCATTAGTGACCGGAAGTTGGGTACCTGATTTTTGTGTGACATGGTAGCTTTTAAAAACTGCGAAAGAGCGAGCTGCTGTGAGGGCGGTGACAATTAACACGTTCAGTGTGTGCGGACTGTAACTGCAGCATCCATCCATCTATAAGATTATCCGTCTGTCTGTCCTTCCATCTGGCCCATGGGATGAGCAGCGTGGCATTGTGGGATATTCCCTCTCCTCCTCCTTTCTGCAGCATCATCACTCAGAAAGTAGGGCAGAGGGTGAGCTGCACACACTAATCACACACTCACACACACACACACACACACACACACACACACACACACACACACACACACACAAATAGCCCATATGTTGTCTTTACGGATGTGCAAGTTGATAATGTACTCTGACCAAATGATTGTAACCCTTTCTGTGCAGCAGTTTATCTTCCTGTCAAACACCAGGCCACATCTGTCTGCTCCTGTGTTTCTCTTCATTGCAAGAAGCCGTCAGATTTGTAAATTCCTTTCTGACCTTTGTGAACTGTTTGACCTTTTCTGCAGGAGAGCATCTGTCTGCAATCTCTGCAATTACCAACCGTTAATAATTAAAGGAAAACACACCGCATGGACATGAAATAACACACTGACATGCAGTCATTATAGATGTCACAACACATCATCGTGACGACAAGGATTTCACTTATGAAGGTCAACAAGTATGACGTACTGTACATTTGACTTGATACGTCGATATTTTCACTTTGTTTAACGTGATCTCAATGTAATAAACTATTTAGTCCCGGCTCACATAACTTTGAAATAGTGTCATCATTTTGACTTAATACTTACATATGTTCCACTCAGTTTCCCATCATTTTGATTAAATAAGTTAACATTTTTACTACATCACATAACTATGTCTGCACTTTTTACATTGTCTTCACTTAACACTACACTTTATACTTAATAAGTCACATAAGTCAACATTCTTAATACATAATACACCATTTTGTCTAAGGATCACAATTCTTTACTTTATTATTTTGAATAAATATGTAATTTGTTGAACTAGTATCTCCTGATTTTTACTCAACAAGTCAACATTTTGACTACATCTTGGTATCATAATTTTGACTTAACACTATACATGTTACACTAAGTACCACATCATTTTTGCCTTAGTATATCATAACTTTGACTTAATATGTCAACATCTTTTATTTAGTAACACAATATTTAAATAAATAAGTCAAAAGTGACTCAAAGTTGGGCAGCTCTCCACATTCCGGGTCTGGAGATCAGGGGGGCCGACCTCATGTCGAGGGGCGGACTCCTGCCAGGCGAGTGGGCGCTTCACCCGGAGGTGGTGAAGCGGATCTAGAAACTATTTTATTAGACTCTTCATCATGACTCAAAGAGAGAAGACAATGTCGACCCTTTCTCTGTGAGCCTTGATGAAAACATTGTCTCATTTATAGTTAACAGGTTGTGTGCCTGGAAACTCCTGCAACCCTGTGCAACAGACCACAGCTCCTTGATCTTTGTTACAAATGTTTCATCACACAGTTTGGAAACTACTCGGTGTTTTCATATTGATTTTACGACAAAGCATCGCACCATAACTGGAGCCGTGAAGGAATTTATTTCTGCTGTGTTACTATGACACTGGTGCTGTGGGACTGCGTTTCGTCTTGGGACTGTCAGAGCCATTCTCATTACTAATTATGAGGCGCTGCTGCAGATCTATTTCAGGATCTTCGTCATGATGAAGGAGATAGAAGCTCCTCTGCAGGCCTCTGTTAACCCTGAGAAGCCTTTCTGTCCTAATGCACTTCAACTTTAGTTTAACGTTGCACCGAAAGGTTTGGAGGCTATAGCACTTGTCTATCATGCACTGAAGTAAGCGTTACATTTTGGGACGGTTTTTTGCACGTCAGTCCTTTTTAGAAGTGGTCTTACTTCCCCCCAAATAATAATTTGTACACAGTGTGTTGTCTTGAACTCTTGAAGAAAATGTAGTTTTTTTCTCATACCTTCAGAGAGAACAAATTGTAAATTGACAAAGTTCTCTATGATTTGACGTAAATGGGGCCACGTTTAGAACAGCAGAACAATATCAAAATATCTTTAAACAAACCCCAAGCCTAACCCCTAACTAACCACACTTTTGGGCAGCATAATCCAGGTCTACTTTAAAACGTATCTATTTCAAAACACTTACGCATTGACAGTAGTCAAAGTTAAAAGCAGCTCCCAATTAATTCAAATGAAAAACCTTCTCTGTTTTTGGATTATTTTGTTTACTGTGGATGTTTTCGAGTAAAATAATGTTTTCCTCGAGAATTCAACGTTGCTTAATTTCACTTAAAACAATTATAATAAAACTAATATATTTGTATTTTACATAACTCAAACTCTCTTGCTCTCTTGGGAGTGTAACCAGCTGTTATGGAAACTAAAAAAGAGTCTACAGGCTGTACTCAATGCTAACATCAGCAAGCTAACATGCTTACGATATCAATGCTAACGTGCTGATGTTTACTATCTTAATTGATTGCCGAAGCATGCTAAAATGTTATAATTAGCACTAAAAACAAGGTACAAAATACAACATTAGATACACAATATTCAACCATGTGAAAAATATGCCATCGTATTAACATTACTGTATATTCCTACTAAGTCCAATGCCATTATTTTGTATCCCATTGCATGTAAGATTAAAGGTCACCTATTGTGCAAAATCCACTTTTTCATGTCTTTTAATATCAACATGTGTCCCCTCTGTGTAAAGAGATTCTGAAAGTTTCAGGGGGAAAAATGTGCTCTCTTTTTGTCCTGATCCATTTATATAAAAACCTGGCTGAAAGTGAGCTGATCAGATGCTGGCCACTTTGATGTCATAATTTTTTTTTGCCTTGTGTAACCATTAGCCAATCACCATCCAAGGTAACCCCCTTCCCACCTTATCACCTGAATCTCCTCCTAGAGCACCATTGTGTTCTTTTTAACTAAATATCTCTCAGAGGGGCGTGGGGAGGGGCTCCTTATTTTCATCTTAAGTAACAGACAGAGAATTTGCACTTTTGAAACAGGGCTGAAACCAGTGCTTGAATTGGGCCGGTACTCACCGGTACGCAGTACCGGCACTTCTGATTTTTACCCATGTGGTACAACAGAGGGGATTATGGGATGCTACAATGATCTGTTTGGTGTTTGGAGCCAAACACTTCAGAGACATGTATTGTATATATCTGAGACCTATAATATAGTAATGAAAAAGAGTATAATAGGGGACCTTTAAGATATCATGGTACTTTTACATTATTTCTATACTTCAATACCATTTTGTTTGTCTTTCTTTGTCTCTAATCTCAGTAATTTATCATAAAAAGACCACACACACAATCACAATGCGGTTTTGCAAAATATGCTTTTACTAAGGAAAAATACTATATTCATTTGAAAGCAATAAGACAAGAGCTTTACACAGAAGCAACATGGAATTTAAATCTAATTTTGGAAAAATCCCTCTGCACTTGCAGCTAGTTTCAGTCTAAACTAGAAGAGAATTTCCATTGAAATTTTCAAAATAAAGTCCAAGTTTTGGCCTAACAACATAAACATTTAAGGATAAATCTTTGGCAATCTAGCAACTGATTGATCTACAAAACTTAAAAAATGGTTATAGAAATAGTGTGTTCTAGTCCCTTAATTGAACGGGTATATTTGTCTTTACAGTTGATTTCATCTTCAGTTTGTTATATACAATTTCTTATATTTCTTCTTGTTATACTTTCAAAACTGGATAAAGAGTTTTTAACAAATGGGATGTTTGTATTTACAACTTGGATACACAGAAAGTGGAATGGGTTTAACACACATCAGAAAACATGTTTAAATAAAGAGGAGAAATGTAAAACCCGACTTGAGATAAACTTGAAATGAACAAATAAGACTTTTAACGCCATGATCTGTAACAAACAAAGTGAACCAGAAACAGAAGTCAGGACAAAGCTATGTTCATCATTTATCACCATCGCATCCAAAAGACTCAGGATCAATTATGCATTGGTTTATAAACTCCACATCCCAGACAGTTTTGGACTTGCTTATTTATTAACAACTTATATTTACAAAAATAGATACTTTTTTTTCACTTCTGGGTAGAAAGTTTTTTTTGGCAAATGCTGAGAGATCAGAGCAGATAAATAGCTGACGGTGAAAGTGTTTAAGGCAAAAAGATCACAGGAAATAAGGCCAAAGAAAGTTCATTCTGTGGTTCCAGCACACATTTCTTTAAAAGTTGGACATCAGGCGAAATACACTTGATAATCTCTAACTCTCTGCGAAAAAAGCACAAGAATATTTCCTCAAATGTCAAACAATTCCTTAGATTGTGGGATGCTCAACAGATATTTTGAGCTATTTATTGAACTGGATTTGAAATCTGCAGTCAGTATTCACAATATCAAACAACAGACTTGAGCTGCAGATTCATATAAGGTTTTAAAAAATAAAAACTTTTTTAAATGAGTGCAGGAACCCGTGTTAAGCCTTGGATGTTTGAAATGTAAAGTCAGCTGAAGAAAATATATAACAATATATAAAAGAGTACAATAAAATAAAAATAAAAAAACACAATATGAACGTAAACAAAAGTATCAAAAGGGGGCTCACTGGAATGGAATAAAAACATTTAAAAGAACTACAAAGAGCAATAACTTTATGAAAAACCAAAAAAAGGTTTCTATAAATACAAAGGTTCTCTCCCTCAGTGTCCTGTAAAAAGCCTCACATGTCATATTTAAAATACTTTCCACTGGAATTCACTATTTCTATTTGAATGTCAATGAAGACAACTGATGATTGATGATTGAAATTATTCAGTGCATTTTTACTTCAGAAATTAAAGCAACCAGTGCCTCCTTATTATTATTATTATTATCATTATTATTATTATTATTATTATACAATTATTAATTAATAATATTACAGTGTGTCTGATTAAGCAGAGATGGAACAGTCAGCAGTGGAACTACTGTATGAGGTTTGCTCCAGGACACTGAACCAGGTCTAGAAGGGGGTGGGGGTCAAAGGTCATCATGAGGGTCAGGGGGGGTAATGGTGGGATAATGTGGGGGTGTTGACATGAATCTCATGAGGTCTCATTGACCGTCCGATCCAACTCTATCACTTTACTGCTGCTGCTCTCCAAAGACCTGAAAACACATAACATTGGATTTTAATTACAAATTAAATACTTTATTTAAATTGATATCACATTTAGGGATCCTTCACCTATTATAATGTCCAATTGCAGTACTTTTTAAGCTTTTCCAGTATGTATTTCTGGGCTTTTCCTGCACCTTACAGCCATTTTTTTCAATATTTTAAAGAAAATACAAATGTAGTGCGGTGAAGAGTCCATTATAAAACCTTATATATAATACAATTAACTGGCTTCTAATCTTTCTGGGTCATTTTTTAATTAAGAAATATTCATACATATATACATATACATAGTTCCGCTTTCCTAAACCCAGCTAATGTTGCTATCACTGCTAACGCTAATGTCTTATTCTTCTGTTATATTCTAAGTATCTGCACAGTCTGTTTACCTGTGGAGGTCCAGCAGCACGTTTTTAGACGTCTGCGTTTCATTGCTATTATTTCTGAGTGGTACGAGTGTTTCCACCATGATGGGCTCCTCCACCACTTTCTGTTGCTCCGAGCGACGCCACGCTGCCATGACAACAGCCGGCGCCTCCTCCCATTGGTTGGGATATTCCCCACCGAGACCGAGGAGATGCGGCTGCTCGTCCTCGAAGGTGGACAACAGATTCCTTGACTTCACTTTAAATAAAAGAAGAATGAAAAAAGACATTTTAATTTACCTTTCTGTTATATCTCTGCATTTAACAAAAGGCAAACTTTTAACATATACAAGCAAAGTTCAAGATGTATTTGTGTAGGTATATACTGTCTATATTGAATAATGCCTTTTCGTAAGAGATATAAAAAGTACATAACAACTACAAAGAGACACAAAACAACACTAAAAGAGGTTAAACAATTTTAACATCTCTTAATCTCTACCCTCTGAGGTATTGGTGTCTTTTGGATGTCAGTTTGAAGGGGCCCACTGTCTCATAACCCTAACCCTATTTACACACCCACTGTCAGCAGCTGTGCATGGAGCTAAACACACAGACACACTTGTTATGTTATTGTCTGCATGGCGGCAGGATGGGGCAGGAAACTGGATTTGATTGTTAAGAAAATTATATCTATTACAAAAGTGTGTGTGTGTGTGTGTGTGTGTGTGTGTGTGTGTGTGTGTGTGTGTGTGTGTGTGTGTGTGTGTGTGTGTGTGTGTGTGTGTGTGTGTGTGTGTTTGTGTGTGTGTGTGTGTGTGTGTGTGTGTGGG